GTGTCTCAGCACGAAGAACTTTCGCAACGGTGCATACTCAGGGAGAACACGTTTACTATGATAATTTAGTGAGGGATCATCTTATAATGCTACCGTCAATCAAAGCAAGATAAGATGCATAAAAGATAAACATCGTATGCAATCAATATAAGTGATATGATATGGCCATCATCATCTTGTGCTTGTGATCTCCATCTCCGAAGCACCATCGTGATCACCATCGTCACCGGCGCGACACCTTGATCTCCATCGTAGCATCGTTGTCGTCTCGCCAATCTCATGCTTCTACGACTATCGCTACCGCTTAGTGATAAAGTAAAGCATTACAGGGCGATTGCATTGCATACAATAAAGCGACAACCATATGGCTCCTGCCAGTTGCCGATAACTTGGTTACAAAACATGATCATCTCATACAATAAAATATAGCATCACGTCTTGACCATATCACATCACAACATGCCCTGCAAAAACAAGTTAGACGTCCGCTACTTTGTTGTTGCAAATTTTACGTGGCTGCTACGGGCTGAGCAAGAACCGTTCTTACCTATGCATTAAAACCACAACGATAGTTTGTCAAGTTGGTGTTGTTTTAACCTTCGCAAGGACCGGGCGTAGCCACACTCGGTTCAACTAAAGTGAGAGAGACAGACACCTGCCGGTCACCTTTAAGCTACGAGTGCTCGTAGCGGTGAAACCAGTCTCGCGTAAGCGTACGCGTAATGTCGGTCCTGGCCGCTTCATCTCACAATGCCGCTGAACCAAAGTATGACATGCTGGTAAGCAGTATGACTTATATCGCCCACAACTCACTTGTGTTCTACTCGTGCATATGAGGTCTACGCATAAAACCAGGCTCTGATACCACTGTTGGGGAACGTAGTAATTTCAAAAAAATTCCTACGCACACACAAGATCATGGTGATGCATTGCAACGAGAGGGGGAGTGTATCTTCATACCCTTGAAGATCGCTAAGCGGAAGCGTTTATCAACGCGGTTGATGTAGTCGTACGTCTTCACGATCCGACCGATCCAAGTATCGAACGCACGGCACCTCCGAGTTCTGCACATGTTCAGCTCGATGACGTCCTCGCCTTCTCGATCCAGCAAGACGGGCGAAGTAGTAGATGAGTTCCGGCAGCACGACGGCGTGATGATGGTGTTGGTGAAGAACAATCTCCGCAGGGCTTCGCCTAAGCACTACGGAAACTATGACGGAGGATAAACTAGAGGGGACGGGGTTGCCGGCACACGGCTTGGTGTTTCTTGATGTGTATTTGGTGCTAGCCCTGCCCCTCTATTTATATGTTGAGCCCTGGGGTCGAAACTTGGAGTAAAAGCCTCCTCAAAGTCAGTTTTGCCCGAAAGGCAAGAGTCCTACACGGACTCCAGGGCTAGACGCCAGGGTTCCCGGCGTCTACCCCCTAGACGCCAGGGTTCCTGGCGTCTAGCCTCTGGTCTTCGCAAAACTTCCTTTTGCACTTTCCAAAAACCTCGTGGGCTTTCCCCTTTGGACCAAATAACGTGTTCTTGTACCCAAACATTTCGGGAAACGTCCGGAACCCCTTCCGGTGAATTCCGGAACCCTTCCGGAGATCAAACACTATTATCCCATATATTAAACTTTATCTCCGGACCATTCCAGAGTTCCTCGTCATGTCCATGATCTCATCCGGAACTCCGAACAACATTCGGTTACCAACATACATAACTCATATAATACTATATAGTCAACGTAACGTTAAGCGTGCGGACCCTACGGGTTCGAGAACTATGTAGACATGACCGAGACACGTTTCCGGTCAATAACCAATAGCGGTACCTGGATGCCCATATTGGCTCCCACATATTCTACGAAGATCTTTATCGGTCAAACCGCATAATAACATACGTTGTTCCCTTTGTCATCGGTATGTTACTTGTCCGAGATTCGATCGTCGGTATCTCAATACCTAGTTCAATCTCGTTACCGGCAAGTCTCTTTACTCGTTTTGTAATACATCATCTCGCAACTAACTCATTAGTTGTATTGCTTACAAGGCTTAAGTGATGTGCATTACCGAGAGGGCCTGGAAATACCTCTCCGACAATCGGAGTGACAAATCCTAATGTCGAAATACGCCAACCCAACATGTACCTTCGGAGACACCTGTAGAGCACCTTTATAATCACCCAGTTACGTTGTGACGTTTGGTAGCACACAAAGTGTTCCTCCGGTAAACGGGAGTTGCATAATCTCATAGTTATAGGAACGTGTATAAGTCATGAAGAAAGCAATAGCAACATACTAAACGATCAAGTGCTAAGCTAACAGAATGGGTCAAGTCAATCACATCATTCTCTTAATAACGTGATCCCGTTAATCAAATGACAACTCATGTCTATGGTTAGGAAACTTAACCATCTTTGATTAACGAGCTAGTCAAGTAGAGACATACTAGTGACATTAAGTTTGTCTATGTATTCACACATGTATTATGTTTTTGGTTAATACAATTGTAGTATGAATAATAAACATTTATCATTAAATAATGAAATAAATTATAACTTTATTATTGCCTCTAGGGCATATTTCCTTCAATTACTTTCTCCGAGAAGGGTCTGAACTCGTAAACATCGCATGTACAACTTAACCATAGCTAGGATCTTGCCTCTCCATACCTACCCCCTTTCTACTGTCAGACTTAGTACCACAACAGTGACATCCTTAAATAATATCTAGATATGAATTAGACAAACTGAACAAACAACACTGGGAGCTAAGAGCAGCTTTAGTAGCTATAAATTCTCAACAACATGAGCCTATAAAATGGTTTTGAAATGCACTATTGAAATTGTAGAAACTTTGCACTATTGAAGTCGTGCAAAGTCGGACTCGCAATAGTAAACCAATCTGTGGTTGGATGGTTAGGAGGACAGTGATATCCCCAACCCACTAGGGTTCAAGTCTTAAACTTGACATTGGTGCTCGTATTATTGCTGGATTTATTTCAGACTTCCAGTGATGCTTGTTTAGTGGAGGAGACGTTCTCTTCGAGTGCGGGACGCTTGTGATGGTAAAATCTCAAGATACTATGCCGACTCTGTCTCTCGGAGATCCTCATAGGAATAGGATGTGTGTTCATATGGATGAGTATATGCTCATGTATGTGAGCGACTTCGATTGTTCTGTGTAAAAAAAGTAAGACTCGTAATAACGAAGCATCTCTAATTATTCTGTCATGTTGGACCCACTTGTCAGTGGATAAAATTTTCTGTCTTCGATTTCACTCTGATCTCCTTCGCACATACCCAATGCCATCGATTCTGCCGCCGTTCCACGGCACACGCCTTGGCCGCGCGCTCGCGCGCAGACTCCGCTCTGGCCGGAGGGTGAGGCCGCCGGCCACGCCGTGGCGCTGTGCGCTGCAGGGGCGCCGCAGCGTACACATGACCGGCCAGAAAAGGTTCACCGTCGGCGTCAGGTCGCGGCCACACCAGCGCACGACCACAGAGTCCAACGGCATGCAGACTTCTGGACGGCAGCATCAGCGTCAGGTAGGCAAGGTAGGGTATATTTTGCACGCCGCCGCGAAATCCAAATCCCATCGCTTCCTTTCCTTCTATAGACGAGAGACGGCCACGTAGTGGTACGCACGGCTAGAGCTAGAGCTCGACCGACCGGGTCAATTCCATGGAGTCGCCCTCGTGCCGTCGTACATTCCGTGGCATGCAGAAGCCACATATCATAGTCAGAGTCAAAAAGTGATCCTTTCTGTGTGCCCAAATGATCCGCTGACTGTACATCGATCCCGCCATCGATGCGCGCGCTGCCGCCGTCTTACCCCGGAAGACCTTCATGGTCAGAGTCAAAATGATCGATAACGTTTAGTGCACAACCCCGGTCTGATTCATGCGGTCCAAACATTTAGGGTGTTTCGGTGCACAACATTGGGGTAGCTCTGATGCTTGTGTTTTTAAACCATGCATGCATTGATGCTTGAGTCATTCATTCTACTACCTACGTTTCAGTTTACAAGTCCTACGCGTATAACTAGGTTGTCAATTTTATCATCCTAATATAAACTATATAACACAAAAATTATACATTTTGAAAATAGAACATCTAAAATTTATATTGGTATAATTTTTGTAATATATAACTTGTATTAGCTTGGTCAAATTGATGACCTAGGGATACGCGCACGTCCTGTAAACTGAGAGAGAGGTAGTAGCTAGCTCACCGGTGTCATTAGTTCTTTTTTTTTGGTGAAACCACAAATGATTTTTTTTCATTGATATTTGAGTCATTCGTTAAGCGATTATGTTGCATGGTTGCAGGTACTAAAGTTTTGATTTTAACGGTCGCTCGTACAAAGTTTCAAGAGTTGAAACTTAACATGTTTTTCCAACGTCAAAATATATTTAAAATAAATCTTATTTGAAAGTCATCATCACGAGAGACACGGATATGAAAATAAAACTTAATTTAAACTTTTTATCTAAAAGATATGAAAGTTTGAAAAACGAAAGCCAAACAAAAAAGCATGCCCGAGGAACTCGTTTGCCCCCGCACCTGCGCTGCCCCGGGTCTACCACCACTGGAAATGTGGGACTAAACTTCCGCCTAAGCTCAAAGATTCCAACAGACCAACACACTCCAACCGTGTGACAACTCACTTGGCTTGCCGTGAGCCGAGTTGGCCAACTCACGGCCATAGTGCAAGTCAAAATCACATTAGCCATTTGACTCTCGAAGCGACTTTTCGGTGGACGGCGGCTCGTGTGGACTTAATCATGGCCGTCCAACCGTTCCTGGGGATTGGCAACCATCACTTCACTGTCTCCCCCCTGTCCGTTCCCTAGTAATAGGTATTAGGTTCATAGGCGTATCAGTGTGGAACAAATGTTTCGTTGCTGTGGAGCTGGACTCGCGGAGTGCGTGGGCTGGTACACGGTGCAGCTGGGTTTGGTACAGTTGCAAAGATCACGTGACTAGTCTCGAGTCGAGGTGCAGGGCATGTTGGCTCACATCGCGTGGCCAGCTATCCCTTTCTCAAAGCACTGGCCGTCAGGGCACAGGCCCATACGCCTCCTGCTGCTCCTTTCTCCAGTTCGTCTTCCTCCTCTGGATCGAGACCTTGGAGCCTGCTCCATGGACCTGTCCATGGAAACGGAGGGCGATTCCGAACAGAGGTAATTCAGATGCCACTTAGCAGAGCTACTAGTTTTTGCCTCATGCAAAAGATGAAGTTAGGATTAGATCTGGTTGCCGTTTGTCCCTGAAATTCCTTGATTTGATTTTTTCCGTTCAGGATTAGCCGCGGGCATGCGGGCAATACTGGTGCTGCCCGGCCTATAGAGTCCCAGGATTCTATCAGCGTCGCCGAGGCTGACATTCGCCGTGCAGGGGACCTCCGTAGCGGTGGTGGAGATGCCGGATTTCTTGGCGAGGACCCGCTCTTGCAAGTTTGTTCGGAGGCTACGAGCGGATGGACACGCAGGTAATCGCGCGTAGAACTGATTTCTTTTGTGTGCTGGTCATATATGCAAAAACGATTTCATTAGCATCTAGCTATATGTTATGTAGTTATTTAGTACAGGTCTGTACTAAATCCGCACTGTGTGTCTGACTGATTACATTAGGTTTCTGAAATTACTGGGATTATCTGCGTGCGGGCTGTTGCACAGTCTTCTTGTTCTTTGAAATTGCATATCCTGTCCTAGTTTAACTAAAAAGTCGAGAGGTGTCGGAGTGCGATACTAGGAAAAGATTTTGTTTGCATATCTTGTTTTTTATCTGCAGTCCTGCTTTGTCGGGTTTGCCTTTGTATAAAATTGGAAATCAGGGGGGCAATAATTGACAGTTTCGTGTAATCTGGTGCATTGAGGAAGAGGAATTGATTTTCTTTTCTATGCGAATTATTTAATTTGTCTCTCAAAAATAACAGGGTAAGGATCAGAAAGGCCCCCGCTGAGCGTGAGCTCAACCTGAACCGGAAAAGTGCCCTTGAATTGTCCATGAGGGCTTTCATATTGAAAAGAGATGGCAATGTTGTCAACCCAGCTGTCGGGACCTCTTTTGATTCATTGGATGAAGCCTATCAATTCTACAATTTATATTCGTGGGAGCTTGGATTTGGTATAAGGTATTCGAAAAGCAGGCTAAATGTGGAGTGGGTGAAGTGCATGCAGGAGATAGTCTGTGAATGTGCGGTGCGTTTGTTTTTCTTTTTGTGCATCACTGTTTGGGGAGAAAAAGTCTGCAAGAATATGTTATAGGCTGACAAATCATGTTATGTGCATCGGCAGGGTAAACCGGAGAGGGAGAATACAAGATCAACATGGAAAGGCAGCTTTTTGCACGTCGGGACGTGACAAAAACAGTGCCGCACGCTGTTGTTCCATCTTGCCCATTACGAGGGATTTAGATGTTCACCCTAACCAACTACTTCGGTTGCTAGCTGTGTAAAAACAAATTACCAATATATTTATTATGGCAGAACCGTATGGATAATGCTCAAAAGCGGCCGGTAAAAGTAGTTAAAAAGTGTATAAAAAATTGTTGACTGGCTAATTGTGTTTTTTTGGCTGTGAAACACGGGCGATTATATTACGTGGTAGGAATTGATATCATTTTCGCGTCAAGAAAAAAATTAATATTGTGTCTGGTGGGCGAGGTTAAAACGTACGGCTAAAAATGATCGCTAATGTTTATAGCGTGAGGATGTACCGGGGCTAGCTACAACTGTGCCGTGAGTGGCGGGATATTATTGTAATGAGTCATGTGAGAGGAAGAGACATGTGCCCAGGCTGCCCTGTATACTTTTGGCACAGCAACAGACCTTGAGTGTGCCGCGGTACATGGAACAACGCCTAGATTCTGTCACCACATCACTATCTCTGGCAGCCGAGATACATGGGGGGCAAGCGTCTACGGGGGGACAGGCCCCGTGAATACAGGGGCGAATCTGGTCAGTGTGGAAAACGGACGGCCTGGATATAGTCCACATAGTGCACGTCCACCGTTAGGCATTTTCGATTTGACTCTACCTTATAGGAGTTCTATCCACTATCTAGACCTCTTGTGTCTTGAGAAATATGTACTGAAGTTTGTGTTCTCTAATCGATTTAGAATTCATATATTGTCGACGATCTGAGTTACCGGTATCACCGGCTTACGATTCGTATATGTATGTTTCGACCCTATGTGCTTGATATGATTTTACCGGTTTTGATAGATAAAAGTACTCCCATGTAAATGCCTTTAGAATTAAACGGATTATGATCTTCAGGTTGTTCACTCTATTTTACTTCGGTTTGTCTTGTTACTTTAGTTGTGTCTTTGTCAACTGAGTTACTAGAATTACCATCTCTTCAAAGTCACACTTCCTCATGTTGATAGGATCGTAGTGAAGTCCCGCTAGATAGAATTTCATGTTTCAAAGACGGATATGGAACTTCAGGTAGTTCACTCTAACTGGCTAACTAGCTCACACATGTATCATTGTGGGTTGATTTGCCGTATCACCAACTCTGCACTACGGTGATAGTACACGTACAAGTTAAAATCATTTTTACGCTTTGACTCTTATCTTCATGGAGTCCCATTTAGTAGATAAATCCACATGTTCTTCATGGTCATCTAGTGAAGTTTGCGTTGCGCAAACAAGTTATAATACATTTCTCACCGTTGATTGAGTTATCAAAGTGAGTGCCTCACATTTCTCGCCGTTGATAGGATCGTAGTGAAGTCCCACTAGATAGAATTCTATGTTTCGAAGACGGATATGGAACTTCAGGTAGTTCACTCTAACCATCTAACTAGCTCACACATGCATCATTGCAGGCTGATTTGTCGTATCACCAACTCTGCACGATGATAGTACACATACAAGTTAAAATACTTTTAACCCTTTGATTCTTATCTTCATAGAGTCCCATCTAGTAGATAAAATTCACGTGTTCTTCGTGATCATCTAGTGAAGTTTGCGTTGCACAAACAAATTATAATACATTTATCATCGTCCATTCAGTTACCAAAGTGAGTAGCTCACATTCATTGGTATACATATGTTTTGACTTTACGTGTTTTATACGACTTTACCAGAGTCTAGATAGATAAAATTGTAGTTACCTACCTTTTGGAACAAGATAATGATCTTGGATTCTTAGAACTCTACTTTAATTATGAGTTTACTGGTTTGGGTTCTTCACTTTGCTAGCTACTTTACCCGTGTCGCCATCGACGGAGTTACTATAGAATCAACATCTCATTGGTAAAAGAAATCCCTTCTACGCGCTTGACATGATCTTAGTGAACTCACGCACATTGATAAAAAAAAAACTATGTGCTCGAAACCACGTTGATAAAAAAATCTATAAACTTGATTATAAAGTTTAACTTTTGAAAAATATAATATGCACTACATTTTAGGGCGAAGGGGGTACTAACAAGCATCATTCACTATCACCCGCTTCACACGATCTTAATGAAGTCCCATCGGATAAAAAAAACACTTGCTCGAGACCACCCGGAATAGAACAATGTTATTTTCAAAATACAACACTTTTTGCGTTTTCAAATACTTAGAAGCATCATCCACCGGCCAGTTCATAGAAAAAAAAAAGGGTCAAACTACGAAAGGCTACATCTTGGCGACTTTCATGTATGGCTAGTACCATGCGCATCATACCAGGGGAAAAGAACAAGAGTTGCCGGCTCATCTCATGCATAGCGGTCGATCAGTATCTCACACGCACTGCACGGGTTAAAACTCACTTTTCGTGTGCGTTTGACTGCATCTCGCCGCAAGCCAGCGCTTGCATGCATGGCGCGCGGGCTAGCTACATCGATCGCACGGGCGAATTCGGCGGCCGCAGCTCGCTGCACCACCGGCCGTCCGAGTGCAATGTTGGGTTTGCAGTCCCCGACTTTGTCGGGCTGGCGGTGAACCGGAGCAGGCCGGCGGCCGGCCGCTGCTGTCACGCGGTATGGTATCATGGAAAATTCGGCCGTGCAGCGAGCCCACGCACGCCACGGGTAATACTGAGTGAGTGATAAGGAAAGAAGGATAAATCTCTGTCCATGTCTATTGTAGACTAGCGGATGCTTCACTCCGGCCGTAGCATGCAGTTGTCACCGTCGGCCACCGCCGGTACGTAGGTGACTGGCCACACGGCTTAGCTAGTAGCACAAACGTAGCAAAACATAGGAGTACAAGGTTAAAATCACTTGAACCGCCGTTAGACTCTCATCTTGTTGGAGTCCCATCGAGTAGACAAAACTCATGTGCCCTTCATGATCATCTAGTGAAGCTTGCGTTGCGCTAACAATTAGTAGAATGCATTATCCCCATTGATCGAGTTACCGAAGTCAGTATCTCACAATCGTAGACACACATTTTGACTTTACGTGTTCGATACGGTTTTACCAAAGTGTAGATACATAAAAAAAATACACATATACCTACCTTTTGCCTTTTGGGAGATAATTAACCTTGGGTCCTTAAGCTCTACTTCAGTTGCGTGTTTGCTTATTTGGGTAGTTCACTTTGCTAACTTTACTTGTGTCGCCATCAATCGAGTTACTCATCATCTATACTTGTTAATAAAATCACTTTTACCCGCTTGACATGATCTTAGTGAAGTCCCACCTAATTAAAAAGACATGTGCTCGAAACGCAACTTCCAATAAAAAAAACATGTTCTCGAAACGTAACATAGTAATATATAAATTATCATTGTTATGGTCGCTCAAAGGAAATGAAATAGTGTTATTTAAAAAAACATTTTTAAATACTTACAAGCAGCAGCATTCACCATGGCATCATAAAGCATTAGCAGAAGCAAGACTCACATGTTGTTCAAAAGTATGCTCAGAAAAGCTAGTAAGAATCGACTGAATGAACTGATGAGTAGCTAAGAGATTTTAATATCTAGGATGAACAAAAATGCCAACTATGATCGCAAAGAAAATTTCTTCCAAAGTTCATACAGCAATGCTATTTCCTACTCCCTCCGTCCGGAAATACTTATCGGAGGAATGGATGTATCTAGACGTATTTTAGTTTTAGATACATCCATTTTTAAGCATTTCTCCGACGAGTATTTCCGGACGGAGGGAGTACATAACAGTCTTACGTCGTACTACTTCCTCTATGGGACAGAGAGAGTAGTTTAACTGAATGACGATTATCTCCATGATTTGCTCCAATTAGTTGCTCCATGTTTCATACTTCCTCTATTTCTGAATATGAGTCTTTGTAAAGATTCTAATATAAACTACATACGGAGAAAAATGAGTGAATTTACACTCTAAAATACATCTATACATCTGTATGTGATTCATAGTGAAATCTTCACAAAGACTTATATTTAGGAACGGAGGGAGTAGTATGTAAGCTTCTTGTAGAACTAGTATGTAGGATTGGCCGACTGGGATTTTCGAAGATTATACATGTGTTGCACTTGCACGTGCATGCTTACTGGAGTAATTAGTAGGCAACATTCGTGTCTACAGTTTATAGAAGAGGTAAAGCAGAGTTACCGTCCACCTCATGGCGGTCGATCACTGCCATTCACACGCACTGCACGTACGAGATAAAAATCACCTTGTCATGTGCGTTTGACTGCCCGCGCGCGCGGCCGGCCGGCGGCACACGAGCTAGCCGCCGCTTGCTACGTCGATCGGTCTGCGGTATACCGGCGAAATCGGCGGCCGCAGCACGCTGCAGTACTGTGTCCGAATGCGATGTTGGGTCCGCACTCCGACCTGCCGGGCCGGCGGTGAACCGGGAGGTCGCTGCCGTGATGTACTCACACCGTACGTGTCGAAGAAGAACCGGCCGGCCGGCACTTTTTCTTTGGGTTTGGCTTTTGAGAGCGACGAGGGGTCGACCGATGATAGCTTGAGAACGTACTGCACGTAAAAACGTCAGAAAAAATGTACTGAGGGAGGGTGAAAAATTGGTACGGTACGTGAGTGACATGTCTGGCCACGCGGCTAGCTAGATAGTAGCAAGTCACGCCACCCAAGCACACGTCCACGATTTTATTTATTTATTTTTGCGAATAGCCCGTGAGGTAAAAGTTGAAACAAACACTTGAAAATACTGCAAGGAAAATCCTAATCATCGTATGGACAAGCAGATTTGTGGAGAATTAGTGACCTGCTATGTTGCTATTTCAAATTTTGGTCCGAGACTTCAAGGTTCAAACCATGTCGTCCACCAGTCCGCGCTTCAAACTCCGACTCACTTGAACTGGTAGTTTAGGAGAAGATGACTTATTTCTCTCTCAAAAAAAAATGAAGATGACTTTTTAAGTCATTACCCAAAAGCCTGCTGTGAAAATTCAGTTTACCTAGTAAAAACATTCAGTGAGTCCATAATTTAGATTCTATGTTATTCAGACAAGTAGCTTAGGAGGAAATGATTCGGCTGTGCTGACATGTATTGAAAGAGAAAGGGAGAGGGAGAGAGAGAGGATTATGTGGCTTTGATGACACGGCGGCCACATATGTAACATAGTGGTTTTTAACACATTTAGACGGAGACACTCATACATATATATATACACTCATCATTGAAAATGCTACACCGATGAAGTTGCTAGTAATGCCTACTTAACTTTTGGTCCTTAACTAATCTTTGACCCTGTATTTTACTGGGTGGGCCCCTGCCCTTTTCTTTTCCAATCAAAGCTTTCCACATCAGCTTTCCCGTGAGGTACGCAAAATAGTTTACATAGATGTAGCATTGCCCCACTCACCATTATATGAACGCACGCACGCTCACCCTATCCTTATGAGCACCTCTGATAGTCTAAGTAGGCACATCATCTTGAGATTGACGAAGCCGAGTGGTATCGAGAGCTATAAGAAAGGGGCGTATTATGATTTTCAAGTTGATGAGGGGCAATCTGAACTTCGACATAGTATTCTATGCTTATGCAAATTGAGTGTGCATTGATTACACTCCATGTCACACACTCTTAAATTAGAAAAGTAGGATTGTAGAACTAATTTTTTTTCAAAAAACCTAGCATGTGGTAGAATTTTGTAGTTCTTTTAAAAATGTTAGAAAAATGTGCAAGAAATAATCTACAGGAAAAAGGAGATTATTAGGTAAAAGCTGATGATTGTGAACTAAAAGGCAACTTTAGCTGCTCAAAATTTCTTTTGCGAAACCACAAGAATGCAAAACCCCGTCATCTCCAAATGTAAACTTGTTGGAACTTTCAAGAAAATATACCTATTGACTCGGGACCACATGCGGGCTACATCGCACAACTCACCGGAAGTCGGGGATGGCGCCTCCCTCCATTGGGCCTCTAGAGCCTCTGATAGCATTTCCTACCATATGTGTAGGAGAAAAACATGTATTTGCGTGGAGGCTAGCAACTGAATCCCTTGTGGTTAAAACTAATAGATTTAGACGTATCCCGGGCCTCACTCCGATCTGTAATGTTTGTGGTGCTGATGACGAAATGGGATTCCATGTTGCACAACGATGTACCTTTGTGAGAGCCCTTTGGCATGAGTTGAAGGACGTGTGGAACCTCCCTCCTGAGAGTGAAATAAGCTATACAGAAAGGGATTGGGTTCTTGTCCTACTTGATAAAGCGATTGAAGACCTAAGACAAAAACAAATGCTATTTTGGTGGCGTGTTTGGCATCATAGAAATGATGTGATCTTTGCAAAAGGTAAAGCAAAAATTTCTCACTTTGCTCGATTTTTGCAAAACTACCTTGTAAACATCCGCATAATTGAGGAAACTCCGAGATCAATCTTAAGGGAAAAGCCCTATGATCAAACTGCCAGTAGTGAAAGAACCCGATAATACTAAGGAAGAAGTGTGGCAAAAGCCTGACCTCGGGTGGGACAAGGTCAATGTCAATGGAAGTTTCTTGCAGGAGAGCAGCAGTGGAGCATGGGGATCAATGGTTCGAGATCATGATGGGAGTATTATCTTATCGACCTGGGACTATCTTCCACGATGCAAAGGAGAAGATTTTGCCAAAGCTATTGATTGTCTAGAAGGACTACGGAAAGCAATGTCAGGTACGGACCTACCTTTAGTTATTGAGACGGAAAACAACGTGGTGGCAAAAGGCACTCGACCCCTCATGTATGGATAGATTGGAAACCGGAGTGATTGTGAGGGAATTACAAGCCATCAAGCAAGGAAACGGAGAAGTTAAAGTGCATAAAGTATATAGAAGAGTCAATAGTTTAGCCCATTGTCTTGCCCAGTTTGACGTAGAGAGTTGCATGGTAGTGTTTCCTCTTTAAATTAATACAACTCTCTATTTAAAAAAATATTTTGCAATATAGATTTTTATAAGTCGAAATAATTTGGAACAACTCTACCGTTTTCTTTGCGAAGGACCAACTCTAGCATTCTAAACATGCACCAGCACAAAAATATCATGCATGGTGGGTTTTCTATCAAGTGGAGAGTAGATACCACTACGTGATAATAAAGTACTGTACAAAGATATCAAGTTTTTTTTTGTTTTGGAAATACCTAGTAATACGATGAGTTTCAAGAGTAGCAAACTCACCGTAGGCGTCCTGCTATAGATGGGACCGCACTGGCTTCCACTTAAAAATATACTATTCACACGTGTCATCAAATTTGGACTTTGATCCTCATGCCTTATTATTCTATAGTATAAGCACTGTAGATCTTTGATTGACTTTTTTGCAGAGCCACGGAGAGTCAACCCAATTGTCTCTCGGCGTCAGCAATGATCCTCCCTAAACCTTCAATAAGTAGCTGGTATTTATACGTCACATTTTTTGCCGTACATTTTAGTACATGTCTCTAGAACCAAAGAGGCCCCAATTAGGACAGGAAGACGACGACCGACTGCGGCCCCACCGAGCAGCCACACCCGGGATCTGCACGCGTTGGCCAAAGCGATCGATCCCGTGCTAGCTGGCCCTACGACTCGCCACGTGGCCAGGACCATGCACGTCCCCGTCCGACGCGCCATTTCCCGCGAGTCAACGCGCCGCGCGCGACCCCGGCGACGGTATAAAGCGGCCGCGCGCCAGCACCATCAGCTCAGCTCCATCGGCAACGCAGCCAGCCAGCGTCTAACCCTTCGACCGACGTACAGCGGCAGCAGCACGAGCAAGCTTCCATCGGCGACGACGACGACTACTAGCTAGCTTCTCCCGGCCACCAGCTGAGCTGCTAGCTGACCGGCGGCATGTCGACGTCGTCGCCGGCGAGCGGGGCCGCGTCGCCGGAGGCGGAGGGCGGCGGGGGCAGGAAGTACAAGGGCGTGCGGCGGCGCAAGTGGGGCAAGTGGGTGTCGGAGATCCGGCTGCCCAACAGCCGGGAGCGCATCTGGCTGGGCTCCTACGACGCGCCCGAGAAGGCCGCGCGCGCCTTCGACGCCGCCTTCGTCTGCCTCCGCGGGCCCGGGGCCGCCGGCGCCGACCTCAACTTCCCGGACTCGCCGCCGCCGCCGTGCCGCCACAGCGTCGACCCGCAGGAGGTGCAGGCGGCCGCGCTCTCCCACGCCAACCGCGCCACAGTCTCGGCCCGGGAGGCGGCCGCCGCGCTCATGGACGTGGCCGACGACTGCTTCTCGCGGGCGCCGGCCGCGCTGTCGATGGAGCAGTGGCCCGTGACACAGCCGTCGTGGCCGCAGCATGAGAATGGCGCCATGGACATTTTCGGCGGCGAGGTGGCGGCCGCGCCGGACGGCAGCATCGACTGGCGCTCGGTCATGGCGCACCAGCCGCCGCTCTTCTCGCCGACGGCCGGCTGGGGCAGCAATGCGTACGACTTCCTGCAGGTGACGCCGCCACCGACGCAGGGCGACGAGGACATGGAGGAGTGTGGCCATGGCGCCAGCGCTTCCCTGTGGAGCTTTGACTCCCGAGACTCATACTTCAGATACTAGTTTTCTTCTTCTTTTTACAGGTCTGTACTTCATAGTATATAATACTATAGTTAACATACTGTCACTGCTGCAGTTAACCTAAACGTGCAAAATTTCAACAGGTGCATTGCAAAGAGTATTACATTTGCATTGCTAGTTTTAACACTGCCTATAGACGGGGTTTTTCCCTGTCTTATTTGTATCTTGCAAACGGAAAATGCAAAAGTGAAACAGAAAATTTGTATGGCGCTTAAAAAGAAGAAGAAAATGTATATGGATGTACTACAAGGTTACAGTTCATTTCAAATACAGTTCTGCTAAGTCTCACTCGACTGAGACTTCGTTATGTCTCTGTCGATGCTATATTCCTTTGATCTTGCATGGTTCGTATTAAAATTTTTGTTTCCAGTTTTTCCTTTTTTCTTCTTATATACTAGTAAATCACTTGACTGAGACTTGGTTAAGTTTTAATGGACTGAAACCTATCCACAACCTTTCAAATATCGCAAACAACTCGCTACATCCAAGTCCCTTGTGTAAGTCAACATCATGAGCCGTCCTATGTTTTCGCGTTGAGTTGTCTAGACTCTAGAGAAGAAGGCAACCGAGATTAGATCAGACTGCTGCTAGTACCATTTTAGACATCAAAATAGATGGACCCACGTACCCAAGCTTTTCAAACAGCACGTTCAGCATTTTTTGCGATGTCTATTTTACTTAATTATCACAGAGCAACAATGTTCCGATGGTTTACACAAGTAGTACTCCAACACAAGGAGGGAAGAAACAATTACTAGCTAGGCTGGAAGAAATAGCAACCTGAGCTAGATAAAGCAGAATAAACGTTACAATCTCTCGCAGCCAGGTGAAACAACATACTAGTGCACTGCTGCCTACTTTTCTTCAGACGATCGACGACGATCTCGCGAAAAGAAAAGTCAAGGATGCTTTGTCTGGTACAAAAAAATTCGCTCTGATTGATCAACATATATGCACGGATATTCAAGTGTAGCTGCATGAGATGCACACACTCAATTCCATGTGCAAACCAGACGCTGGAATAATAAAGAAAAAGGGCTACTGTAGATCAGATGCACACCACACCACACATGCCCTAGCTAGGTGCATATTCATGGGCAACTTGCGATGGTAGACAACACGGGGCGTCGTTTTCAAGCATGTGCCAAAAACTAGCAAGATCCGAGTATACAATGCACTGTGTGTTTGTGACACCTATATATGTCTAATCTGGGTCCGGTTTCTGTGTCTGGCAACAGTTCAACTGAGGGCCGAAAAGGACGCGCGCGCACTAGCTGTTGAGTCGTCGCGATTGCCTTCCACTAGATGCAGCATCTATCAGACAATTACTTCCAAAATAGGTATCGCAGTTTTAAACTGAGGTTAGTTCAAAATTGTGACACTTATTATGAATCAAAGGTAGTAGTAAATTGGTGTTTTGAGAAATTTTACACCCTTTGAGATGGCTTAATTACCACGGTGAGAATCCTGAATACGAATCAAATATCGTTTTCTTGCCCTGTGGCCCGTTGTGCTGCTCACACCGGCGGGAAGAATAATGGGAGCTTGATATGACACAGGGTAGAGCATCTTTGTTCGACTCTTGCATGGTGGGGGAAGGAGTGCAAACCATGTCTAGTGTCACCATCCAAGCAACAACTCGGTTCGGATCCTAGTACGGGGAGCATACACGATTAAGATCGGGTTGTCGACGCACTCCCCATTGTACACGGTACACTCGATAACGAAATGAATTGAAGATGGCATAGTGTGTGAGCGCGTGATGAGCACACTACATATATTTTTTTTTCCATCGGCCACAACTTCTAGTCCTGAAAAATGTTGCAAAAATGTAAATAAGTTAATAGCACCAAACCAGCCTCAGATAGATCATCAGAAGCATGTGCTTTTTCCCACACACAAAAAGCAGCACACATATTACTTCCTCTGTTCCTAAATATAAGTCATTTTAGAGATTTTAATATAGACTACATACCGACTTATATAGACATACTTTAGAGTTTAGATTCACTCATTTTGCTCCCTCTGTAGTCCGTATTGAAATCTCTAAAAAAAATTATATTTAGGAATGGAGAGAGTACAAACAAGCTGAAGTTCATCCATGGCAGTATTTCTGCCGAATTTGTGAATTTTTGTAGCAAAGGGCCCACGCAGAACTCCATGTGTAGTGGCTGAACCCTGGAGGCAGGAAAGGAAAACTTCAATTTCCTTTTCTTTAGGGGGATTATAATATTGAAGGTCGATCTCTCTATAGAATAATGAGTTGAATCTTCTTCAGTACTGTACTTTTGTCCTTCGGTTGGCTTGGCAACCAACACTCTGCACTGCACTTGATACTGCGGATATAATCCACGTGGGCGGCGTGCGTGTATGGCCTTTGGGTGGGGTCCTACACTACTCCTCTAACCTCTAGCTACATGGTTGGTTGCCCTGATTAACAATAGTGCAACAACATCACTCCAGTTCAACATGCATATAGTGTGGGTCATCATCAGCTTATCAAACAACAGTGGCAGGATAAATAAGCATTGTCTAAAAAATATGCCAGTCATGTAAGCTGACCTTCAGAACACGCCGCTCTCATGTCTGGTCGGGGCCCACGTGTCAGCGAGCCGAGGAACTCAACTGATGGGAGCCGCATATTCTGAAAAGTCAACAATGTAAGGGAATCACTGGTTAAGAACGTCATGCCTGATATACATGGCAAAAATGATTAGTTAGCATGGAACCCACTTGAAAGCGGTCACCGTTTAACTGATGAAAATACAGAACTCCCTCCGATCCATAATATATGTCGCAGTTTTGAACTAACCTTAGTTCAAAACTGCGACACTTATTTTGGAGAGCACCAAGTCTCGTGGCACCAAACAAGCCTTAAATTTCCTCAAGCAGCACGTGAATTACAAACTTAAAAGTTCATAAATGTTAGCATCTCTGCAGAGTTTATGAATTCTGTAGCTAGGGACACATGCACAATAGACCATGGATAATTCTGTAGCTATATGAATTCATGGACTAGTGCTACGGGTTGATCTCTCTATAAAAGGGAATTGGTTGAATCTTCTTCTCTGCCGTACTTTTGTCCTTTGGATATCAACCAACCCCAAATGCACTTTTGATTGCACTGGACACTGTGGATAGGATATTTATCACCCACGTGAGTGGTGTGCGTGTATGCAGCAGCAGGGCCGTTGGGTGGGGATTCTACTACCTCTTTAGGCACACATTGTTACCCCAATACCTCTGATTAACAATGGTGGCGCAACGTTACCCCAATCCAACATGTATAGTCCGGTCATCAGCTTAACAAATAACAAGATTAAGTAATATGAAAATTTCTAAAATATGCTGCAGACATAAGCTGAGTTTCAAGACATGCCGCTCTCGCGTCTGGCCAGGAGGACCCACATATCCTAAACCCTAACTAAGGGGAGCAGCATGTTCTCAAAACTCTAAACAATGATGAGGGGGGTCACTGCCAGAGAATGTTCTTGCCCTGATCCATGGCAAAATGATTAGCAACTTCGCATGGAACCAAGTGGAATCTGGAAAGCAACTGCTCACGAACAGTGCTTAACATGTGGGAACTAGGGCACATTCTTCTGGGGTTCCTCCCCTTGTATATTCTAGCTGATAATCAGGCAAGTACTACATTGTTTTCTCCTGGGTGTGACTGTGACACTTGGCTAACGCGCAGGAGCAAAACATAAGTAGCAGAAGATTCGAAAGGCACGTGTTCAGATCTGCTAGATAGATAGGAGTAGTATATAGTATCGATTCCCTCCTGTCTGGACCACGGGCACACACATATGCATGAATGGGCAAAGACCAACCCCGCAAATATGACTTCCCTTCTGCCTCTGCACAACATGCTTGTGTTAATTGCTAACAATGTGGTGTCTCTGCTCCTCCTCGCCACGCTGCAAATCTTGGGTGGCTTCATGGTCCGTTCAGGATCAAGAGGATGCATCTAGAAGTCAACTACTAACTCCAGCAAAAACATACGCGGTGTTTTTCAGAAACTGTGGACCATGAAACTGTTCTAACTTTGACTCCTACAATCAGTATATATAAGGTGAAATAAATTATTTAGATTGGTCAAGTGAATATGATATTATACTATTATTAGGTTTGTCGTGGACTCTTTTACTTCTTCTTAGTATTTAAGATTTTCTCACTGTGACTTAACATATATTCATATAAAAAAGAGCAAGTGTCGATCAAGAACACACACTGTATTAGATTCCACTTCGCGCTTACTTTCAGTTGTCGAGCATGAGGCAGTAATTGATCCAGAGACCAAGTCAGTAGGCTGCACAAGTAAACAAGAGGACGCAATGATCATCATGGCAATAGTGACAACACAATAGAAAAATAAGAGCACATGTCTGTGAACGTCAAGTGGTTGTTGATGTGTGGCATCCAACAACAGCGATAGCCATGGAGGAGGATCTTATCTGTTCTATGGCAAAGAAGAAAAGCCCCAGCTATCTGAAACCCCATCCACTGGCTACAGAATGCCTACGATCCTCGGAGCCACAGAAACCCCGGATTTCTCGCTATGGGCGCTCTTTTCTCTTCCGTGGAACAGTAAAAACGTGCATTTGTGGAGATCGGAACAAATTTGCGGCTGACGGAATGGTTATAACCTCTGATTAGAAAAGCACATGATGGAATGAGTGAATCACCTGGCTGGGAGAGCGCGAGATTACTTCCCCGGTTCCAGTTCTGCTTCAGATTGACTTCCTCTTGATCACGGCTTTCGCTTTATCTGCCTTCCCTGATTTTCCTGTCATGTTGCCTTGCGGCTTCCACTATCCAGAATATGTTGGCAGATAAGTTTATGAAATGACCATGCCACTAGCAATGAGATCCCAAAATGCAACTTATGAATAATTATACCTTCTGCAACTTCCTCCTAGTTGAAAATGGACATGCAAGGAAGGTCCGAACTAGTTGCTATAAGAAAAATTGGCACCACA